CTATACAATATAGCATAATAAGTATATGTGAAAAGAGTAGTTATACATGAAAAGACTTGATTAAGAAATCACCCTATGGTAACCCTATAAAATTGAAAAGATTGGAAGGTGGGAGTAAGAAGGCARGAAATTTATTAAGCAGAAAATAAGGTACACATTTTTTTTTTTTAATTTAAGAGGTCTCTGCACCRTCTYCTTTTTAGCCTCCTACGAGGGTTTCCGGGAGCGGGATATATATTTAAAAATATAAAATATTTAAAATTAATTATTTACAGTTATTATCATTACTAATCACTAATCATAAAATGTAAATTTAAATTATTTTCCGAATAGAGTCGTGAAAAATGTGATTAATAGAACTCTTGTTATGGACAAAGTAACCTACAATAATATAAATTTTACACTTTGTGGGGTTCAATTAAAATATTTATGGTCATTTTTAGCTTATTCTACGAACCTATTCAAACGTCTCTACAGTTCGATGGTGTTAACTTAAACTAGTGAATTAGTTAATAATAATTTATGCTAAGAATAATAAAAAATATATTATATTATAATTATAAACCATTCTTGGAAACAGATGATGGGATTTGCCCGTCTCTTTTTCCCACAATCGTTTTTTTTTTTTGTTGATAAAAAAAAATATTACTAGAATGAGTAACCGGAGAAAATAAATATTGAGATTTAATCAATCAAAATGAACAAGAGTACAATGCAATTGTTTGCGTTTAATTCAAATTCAAATAAGATTATATTATAGAAGGTATAAAAAGTTATGATCATTTTATATTTTTCAATATAGTTATGAATTGATCAACCTAATATTATAAAATGTATAACAATATAATATAATATTTATTATGTTTTGTAATTTATTTTATACTTGTATGTATAATGATGCGTAATAACATCAAACTCGGTAACGTGAAAAATATTGAATTATYGTAGCAATTGATTAACTACATTACTGTAGTATGAGTATATATCTACCTATTACCTATTACGTCTTTCAACCACAGATTCTAATAAAGAAAATATAGTAACTCTGGACAGGATATAAAGACTACG